GCCATATTTATCTAAATCGGGGTAGTAGACCGTAACTGAATACCTCTTCCAGGGATGGGGTTGACTTCATCGAAATATCAGGGGCACCCAACGAGAAGATAGTTCAAAACCACTTAAACATAGCATTGTTAAACGTATTTTAGTATTTAAACGGTAGATATAGGCATATTTTTATCCCCTAGAAATTTTTCATCTGTTCGGATTTCCTAGCTGAAAGTCTAGTGATCCGAAAATTATAGGGATCAAAACTTACCTTTTTGAAAATTTCAGCCAGAAAAAAGGCTCCCGAAAATTCTAGGTGACCTTTTAAGGGTAAAAATTCGTTAAAAATGGGCAATCATACCATTTTTTAGATGTTCGAAAATCCTAGGAGAGGCAGGCAAGCAAGAAATTTTACAATGAAATGTTCCGAAAATTCTAGATCGCAAATCGTCTTCCGAACAGATATTTTCCGAAAATTGTCGTTGGTTGCCCCTGAAATATATATCATAGCCATTAAATGTGCTAATTTTAGCACATTTTGTGCCATCTCGTGTGACTCGCTCACGCATTTTTTGCAACAGCGCCGTGGAAAAGATTAACAAACGAAATGGCGTTGGAAATTACCTCCTTAGGAGATGCATGATAAATTCCATTTCTGTCATCATTGCCTCCTCTGAATTTAAGGCAAGACCTTGACAATTTCTCTAAATGTGAGGACTGCTTATGTTAAACACCGTAGTGAGAATGTTTTTGACAAATCCAGTGACGAACAGATGTAGGAGATGTCAATTCTTTCACAGCTACACCAGTAAACTAAAAGGAACCTAGTGGCTGTAAACGTCCAGGCGTACGACTTCTATCAATTATTGATCAATATGAAGGAGAAGGTACCAACTCGAGTTAACACTCGGACCCCTTTTACAAATTTTTGAACGGCCAAAAACTTGCACGGATCCGCCTTTTCTTTTCTTGCGACCCGCGGAACCGTGCAAGTTTTTGAGCTGCAAACAGTACCGCAATCTGTAAGAGAATTTGCGCGTTTCCTCTAAACGTGGCGTTTATCTTGTGTGGACCGTGCAAAGAGCATTCTGAAAAAGAAGTGAGCGGGAAAAACAATGAGGGGAAGGGGTACGGAGTGAGAGTCGTAAAAACTCCTTTAATGGTACTTCTAACAAAACTGAGCTCCTTCCGGATCCTTCCGGTATACCAGGTTCTGGTAAACGCTATGAATGGTTTATTTTGACAGCTCTTGTCAACATTCGAAGGTATATTACTTTATGGAAATGCGAAGTGCCAGCGATGAGATCATCAGTTAGAAGGCTTACTTTCAAAAAAGTACTTCGTCCGCTGGCTCTCTTGGCCGCTTTGAGGCCTAAAATGCCCGCTCCGTAAACTGATTGAACTGCATGTACTATGTTTATTTTAACAAATAGTTGGTAATAAAAATTATTACAAATTTTACGGCAAGCAATATCCACTGCCCGCAGTTAGCCCGCACGCTTCGAAACTCGCGAGGTTGATATATAGCAAGTCTAGCTAGCTCGCATGAGAGCGAAGTTAAGTGATTCATAAAGAGACAAAATAGATCTTTAACATTATATCTACATTCACGGGACACCTCTAAATGAGGAGGGAATGAAGCAATGCCAGTTAATCACCAATGAACCTGCGATCAGGCGTTCTTCTAAAGCTAAATTCAACTAAAAGAAGTAATTGAAGAAGAAATAAGACTGGAGAAGGTCGCTGGCTTGTTTGTTTTTTGTTTTTTTATCCATAGGCTCCTGGTAATAGTTCGTAATAGCCCACGTTCGATAAAGAAAAATTCTAACATGAATCCGAGGCTTTCTGGTTACATTTCTATGTTAGGTTTGGTTTTCTATGTGCTCGTGGAAAATTTGCAATTTTTGTCCGTATGTGTCACCGTATGCAGCTACTAGTGCCAGTCCCTCCTGAGTGCTGAATTTTCAAGATGGCGTCGCTTTGTTATTTTCTAGTTTCATCCTATCGTTCAGCACTTTTTACCCTTTGAACATGTAACCTAGGCAGTATTTCGAGCTTTTTGATATTTTCTCCTGTTGCTGAACATACTCTACAGCGAAATATGGAAGAAAATTCACGAAGAGGACTTAAAACAAGCACGAAGGGATCGGCCTGTTTGCAAGAAAAAGCTTGGAAACTATAACAAATGTGAGTTTTCTAATTTCTTCCTGTTTCAATGGCCCAAAATGATTATTAGTGTTTTGGTTACATGGATGATAGTAGACTGCAATTTGACTATCAGAGTTGTTCTCTCGTTTTAGTTGTGCGCTGTAGATCAATTCAAAAATGCCCGATTTCTTTCTCCTTTGCAGACACTGAGTTTAGGTCAGATAAAATAAGAAAATTTTAGTCTTGTCCGTGGCTGCTTAACAATTCTTATGGTTTTAGAAAGTAGTTCTGTGATGTATTGTATCGCATGCAAAAAATAAACTTCGCTCGTTAAATTTTGAGGGTTCTGTGAGTTTCAGAAAATGGTGAA